GTTTAATGATGTCAACACAGACTTGGGAAGAAGAAGAAGAAGCCAAAGAGAATGTTTTGCTTTATTTGACCGACAACAAGAAGAAGAAGAAAATAGTAGAAGATAAAAGTATCAGTATCAGTGCAGAGTTTACTTTACTGTAATTCACTCACTTACATATACAGCATATGTGAACAGTATATATACTTTTTTTTCCTTTTCTTTTTCAATCAGGCATCACAAGCCTCTGTGGCACTCTCTGGAAGTGACATTTTGTGGAGAAATAGCCAATGATGACGTCTTAATATCAGAAAGCTCCTAAAAAGAGCTCATCATTTCAAAATAATTCCAATTTAAAACAAAACATTTAACAACTCAGTGAGAACATGCCTAATGTGAAATGCGGCAGCTGTGAGACACCAGTCCAGTTTGGTCATGAGTCTTTGCCACATTCACTGATGAAAAGGTCAACTCCTGACTCATTGTTACTGGTCCACACATCCATTTTTTTAAACAATAATGAAAGGGTTAAAAGTAGCACATTCTCAGTCCCGTACGTCACCTCTGCAGGTGGTTTTTGTTTATTGGAGCAGACGTGTGTCCAGACCATGGACTTGTATTCTCTTTACCATCTTTGTTTATTTACCATCCACCATGCAGTGAGTCCTGCTTTAAGATGTGGGCCGTACAAGGTTGATATATTCACAGGAATTGAAGAAAGACAGACATAAGATCTCTTTTTATGTTTTTTCATTTTTAGAAGTCACGGTCACGTTGACAAAGATGGAATTATTTGCAGTAAATAAAATATAGCTTTTGGACTGTTGTGTTTGAGCAGAAGAGAGTAAAAACATCTGTGTTTTATCAGTAACCCACAGATTAGGGCCCACATTCAAGGTGCCCGTCTAGAGTGGTTGGTGTGGTCCACATTCCAAACAAGGGCCAAATTCTTCAGGACTTCTGGCCATTACCAGGTTCTCTGGTCCAATATAGGACAACAGAGGGCGACTTCTGGCTCATTTATAGATGTAACATGTTTAAATGCTCACGTGCACGAGGTCAGATGTGACCCAAAGTGTGGCCCTTGGCTCTGTTTTTTTATTCCTAAATCAGTCAGAGTGATGCGTGGGCTACACATTTCCCCAGTCCTCTGATAAGAGTTTGGGTCAAATCCATATTTATGAGCGACGTGTGCTGGACTGTGCGCCTGCAGCCGCTAGAGCACAGCCGTAAATTGAATTCTGTCACACAGCGCTCGCTGACAGAACGCTGAATAAGTGCGACGGTGTGTGTTTGAGAGAAACGCACAATCCTTGTCCACGTGCACATTAGAATATAAACCACACGTCGGCCGGGAAGCTGCGGTGGCGTTTGACAGACACAGCGAATGAACAGAAGCTGCTATTTTAGAAACGGACGTGACAAAGAAGGTGTCAGGAAAATAAATAAATAAAATAATAATAAAAAAAAACACAGACTGCAGCAGTTAATGTTTATTTATTCAGCTGAATTTGGGCCATTTCTAAAAAGACTAAAGGCAAAGGCAGAGAGAGAGAGGGAGAGAGAGAGAGAGAGAGAGGGTATGGGGAGGGAAGAGAGGAAATACATTAGTGAAGAAGAAAATGTATTCATATTTACTCTCTTTCCTAATTTGGTTTTATGGCTTGATTTGGTTTTTCTTCCTGCGGTTTGAGAAACAGAAAAGTTTTCCTTTGGGCTTTTGTTTGGTCCACTTTGACTTTTCCAAATTGAATTCTCTGCTGCTGCTGCAGAAACATGACATCCATAATTAATAAGAACCACAGCAGCTTCATTATTGAATCTGACACAAATTAATTTTTGCTCCGAGGGAATTTGAGGAAAAGATGGTCTTTTGCAAAACCCCCACACCCTGGGTGTCCGTGGATTCATTTGCTTTTCTTTTGGCTCATTAGGAAGTCGCAGGAGGATCAGGTGATCTGAGGTCAACTGATCAAAAATGACATCACACGCTGGATGAATAAATTACAAGTCACAGTTTGCAGCTCTTTCTGCTGCACTTTAACCTGAAACGGAGGCAAAACTTTTACAAAGTAGTCATTGAAACAAGTTCAATTTAAATGAACTTTTATTAATCATTCCATCCACACCAAAGTCCATAAGGAAAATCAGTGATTTAAGCTCACAAGAGACACAGGAGCTACATCCACTGCTGCCCCCTGTGGTCAGCAGAAAAAATAAAACAGATTAGAACTTGCCATGGATCAACAACAGTTGGGGATGTATTTTAAAAAAAGTATGTCGGGTAAAAGTTTGTCGGACAAAGAGATTAAATTTTCCAGTGAGTGTAAAATGAATATGAATTGATAAAACAAGTTAATTTATTAAAAAAAATCTTTCTATGCAGTTAACGTGGCATATTTTTACTGAAAACAACTGATTTTACACATGAATCCTTTCATGTTTTATCATTACACACACACACAAACGTGCGCACACACACACACGCAGAGGTGTCTCAGACTGAGGGCAGAGGATTCATTCTCAGAGTCATCACTGAGTCTCAGTCAATCACAGGGACTGAAAAAAATCCATTTTCTCCAGGTGAGGAGTAGACGTGCAGTAAAGAGGTGGATTTAACCATAAAGAAACTCCTTCATCTTCTCTCCCTCTTCTACTGTATCCACCATCAGTCTGTCCATCACTGAGAAAAACACAGAGATAAGAAAAGAAAAGAAAAAAAAAACAATTTTCCACATCAGCGTGAGGTGAAGGAGAGAAGGAGTCACTCTCTCTGGACTTTATCGCTTCATTAGAACATATATCTGTGAAGAAAGAAAAAAAAACATCAGAGTGATTCTGTAGAAGAAAAACTGAAGGAGAGAGAGAGGGAGAGAGAGGTACAGTCATGACAGAGATGAGGGCAGCTTCATTTACATGACAATAGTTTAGAGAACAATCACATGATCAACATCAACACTCAACTGAAATGTACACAGACACTAAAATCCATCACAGCATTTAGAATGGAACAGATTATCGTTGAAAGCTACTCATGTTTCCAGAACGTTCCAGAGATTAAATGGATAAAAATAACTTCATAAGACAAGCAGACTGGATATTAGGGTGAATTTCACTCATAACTGAGCCAATGTTAGTGTGAATGTTAGTGTGAATGGTTGTTCAATCATCTCTGTTTGTGAACCTCTGATGCTCTGGTCAGTTGTCCAGGGTATAAGGCCCACCCTCATCTGAGGACAGCAGTTTCACCTTTAATAAGTCAGAACTCTCTGTTCATCAGAACTCTCTCATTACACAAAACAGTTTATAATCTGAGCTACATGATGAAAGAAAACCAGCTGAGTGTGCGGAATCCTCCCCTCTCTGCAGGAGGCACCGTGTACAAATCATTAATCAATGAACAAGTCCAATTATGCAGGAAATGAAGCGTTGGCTCATCCTCACCATGATTTCACTTTCTGCCTCATTTCAGTGGCAGTCAGAGAGGAGGAGGAGGGGGAGGTAGAGGAGGAAGAGGATGAAGAGCTGGGAGGTGATTCTGAATGTGCTGCACCTCACTAGCAGCCAAGCGAAGGGTGGATCTCTGAATGTGAGTGTGAGAGACAGTCTCATTAATCTCTGACACAAATCCAACACCACACTGGTTCAGTCCGACGATCTGGAATTTTCTAGAAAACGCTTCATTAGCTGCTCCGTGAGACTGAAATCCTGGATTAGTCTGAGATTATTCTGTCGGTATTCCTGTTCCAT